AGTTTCCTGATTGTATATAATGTTAGCACAATTTTCTTAAGGTTTCCTTGTGAAAGTTATCCATCGCGATAAAACGATATCGAACAATAGCCGTTGCTTCCACAATAAACCAAGACCATAATTAAGATGAAATTTTTTAAGTATGCAATTTTTTTTTAAATTTATTGCTTAAAGACCGGTTCTCTTGTTTGCGTAAAGGCGAGATCGAAGAGCGCGCTGTATTCCCGATCAAAATCTTCGACATTAATACCTCGTTAAAGCTCAGTTTCGCTTCAGGCATGATCGCTTCATCGATTAAAATCTATTTAAGCGTATGCTTACGTGAGTAACGTCCGCCCGAGGTACAAAGATATGAAATCGATAATATCCGGAGTAAAGCCCGGAACGCCGCCGATTTGCCCTCGTTTCGGCGACGCATCTTTCGAGAGTCACCTGTTATCGCAATAAATTCGTCCGAGAGCGATAATCTATTTCTAATACCAACCATCACGCCCTGAGCCTTTAATACGTGCGCCGGATCCCTTAAAGACACGTCGGATTTACACGCGAATGCCGCGACAAGGTCAATTGCGCCCGTTGCTAAGCGGGGCACGCCTTATCGAAGATGGAAATTATGACTTCGTGTTTTTCCTTTCCGAGTGCTCTCTCGAGTTCGCGAGAACAGGTATATCGAGCATGTAACAGAAGCGTGACGGTGGCAGCGACGGCGGGGGTATCCGGTCAAGCGGTCGCGGCGCGTTCCGCAGCTGAATGCCTCGCGGCGAATCGCGACAGCGCAGCGCAACGGTCAAGCGCAGCGCAGCGCAGCGCGACGCGCGCTGCAACTCGCGCTACAACTCGCTACTCTCGTCGCGCCGTCACCGCAGCCGCAGCCGCCGCCACCGATCCTATTGATCTATGGTAGAACCATTAACCATCGGAGCGTGCACCGAATGTTTCGGAACTAATTTAAACTTAGCCGCTTCTCCGCCCGCGGCATACACGACGTCGAATTAAAGACTTCGCTCTACTGCTGCGCTATCGTGTGTACGCCGATATGTGCGATTCTCCGCCGATTAGAACCACTGCGATATGTTGTGATAGCGCTTCCGATATCTGTCACCGTGTATCCGGCGGGTTTTTGCCCGGAATACATTTCGAGACGCGATCATTTATCTCTCACGACTTGAAATGCATTGCACGAAATTATTCTCCAGATTGAAATTAATTAAATTAAATATTCATAAAACGAGAAGATGGAGGAAATAAGATATTGAATGCTGAATTTTACACTACATTAAATTTCAGCGATAAATCTTTTATTGCAAATTTGTTAATTTTCATCATTTGATATATTTGATTTTTAATATGCCGCGTATATGGAATTAGTAAATCAAAATTTTGGCAGAAAAAAAGACATAATATTATATATCATCGTGCTAAATGTGCGATGTAAAAACTGACGTGTAATTCAGTAAAATTAATCCCAATGTCTGTATGATGGCTGTCACTCATATGCGATAAGGCTTGAAAATGTCGAATTTTCTTGATCCCTTTTATACTAGAGTTAAACGATGAAAACGTTAATTGAACAATTTTTTCCGGTAGTCGTTCACATTGTCGTCACCAACGCGAACTTTTATCGCGCACAAACTGCTGCGGACTAATTGACTTTTGGATGCGCATATATCTAGTTTTTTATCGTACTTATGGCTAATTTTCTTCTTCCATTCTGCACGTACCATAATTCGCACGTTGAGCTCAAGCGGTCTTTTCTCGACATCGAGTAAATAATTTAAGCTTTTTTATTTTGATTTGTGCATCTCTTTACAAAACCCACGGTCAAAAAAAGCTGGCGGCTAAAACATAACAACATTGCGGTGCAGGTCATAGAGCAGGGTGCGCTAAACCTGCAATAATTTTATGGAAATCAGACGTTTGCTACCGTGGTACGTGCCACATAGACGATGGGGTGCGCTTATACGCCGGGAGAAGAATGAACGAGGACCAAGGCATCGTGCAACGGCATATAGTTACAAGTATATTATGGTTCCTCGGCTTAAACTGGATTTCAAACGCGCGCGAGCGTTATCGTTCCGACACACTGTGATTGTTGGGAAAGTCCGCCGCGTATATACGCACTAGCGAGGCACGTACGATGTTTAGCTTAAGGACATAGTGCCACCTGCGTTTAATCCTACTTTTGAATAACGCACCATCGTCAACAACTCGGTAAAAGATCGTCGCAGAAGGCATTAATCCCTTGAAAAAAATTATTCCAGTTGTATAAACGCGCGAGAGATATTCAAATCCCATTTAAAAGCATACGTTTCAGCGAAACTGCGCAGAAAAAAAATTTATATTTAAATAATACTCAAACAGTTGTACGGAGAAATGATATTTAAATAATTAACGCGTAGATTATTTTTACGGCGAATAACGAGAAAATGTTCGAAGCACAGTGCGCCAGCTTATCAATGGCAACTTTATTAGCCAAATAAATGTGATGCTCCTTTTTTCCAGATTAGGAGCATTGCCAGACACAATGTTATATTTTTTAACATATTGTGAATACAGGAAATGGAATATCGGTATAGAACGATGCGATATCGTGGAATCGCTCTATCTTCGCAAGCCCAACGACTAATCCCCCGGCCGGCATATACTGTAACCGAAAAACGAATAGAAATAAAAAAAATAAACGCCGCGTTTGCATATACCGTTCGCGTTCCAATATGCCGACGCGCACGAGCAGGACAGCTTCGCGAAACACGTTACAAATTTTGATTGAATAAACGTTGGATCGTTTCGCTTTCCGCGCGCTGATTTTTGCGGAATTAAATGACGAATGCAGCGGGCGCGGAAAGATACGCGCGCGCGGGCTCACTGAAAGACAATCTATATGTTGAAACAGATACAGCGGATGAAATAAACCAGTTCACTACTCCGCCTCCTGCACCGTCACACGAAAAAGCCCCCGCTTTATCGCGGTATGCGCGGTTAGATTATAGCATTAACGGAATTGGAACAACTTTGAAGGTTCTTGTTACATGGTTCTATCTCTTTTTATCTTATTTGTATCCATGTAGTTTCCGCTTCATCCACTTATTTGCTCATTTGCTTATTTGTTTCGTTGAAGTCGAAAGCATAATGATTTCCAATTACTCGCAAATGCGGCTTGATTCTGCACCTTATATTTCTTCGACATATATTTTAATCCCTTCGACCGCTTCGTGGCAGTATATGTATATATATATATATGCAAGCTTTTTATATCGAAGGTAAAAATTGAATAGAAGATTTTACGCGCTTATTGAGAAATCGAACGCGTAAATCACCCTTTTTGCTCTGCCGAAAAATTTGCCGTAGTACATTTCTGGCATTAATTTTTTTGTCTGTCTATTTTTGTCATTGTTGTACCATGATATACTGTCCGCGGTAAGAATATTTCATCCAGGTGTGCTTTGTTATTTGCGTTTGTGTCTCTCGAGTTTATTCGCGAGTAACGCTAACATCATCAGCGTGCCCGTGCTGCCGAGTTCAGAACGTAGAGGTCTTTATTTGAACATCATCCTTTCATTTGCCAGCATAATTTACTGATTGGACGAAATTCTCTATTCCCTCGTTACCTTTGCCATTACGTACTGGATTAAACCGCGAGTGTATAAAGTTTCGTAATAAAAATTCTACAATAAAGAAACGCTGTCTCAGGCGTATCCCGGGCTTGCATCCCAAAGACGTATTCTGTACATGGAAAACGTTTACACGTGTAAATACTCCTATACCAGCAAGTGTAACGAGTGTTGCGAGGCATTTTTTAGTAACTCGTTAGGAAACTAATTTAACTTCACAGTAGCTTTTAATGCGAACTGTATCGGCTTTATGCGACGTAGTCGACACAAGAGTAGCATGAAGTCCATCTTTGTTTTAAAGCGCGCTAACAAAAGTGAACCTCTTCCGGAAGCGCTATGCAGGATAAGGCGGAAATCATGGTGCAACTGAAAAGGAGGCCAATTTCTCGTATAAAAAGTAGCTAGAAGCGAAATATTAATTTGTTTTTTAATTGGCCATTTCAGTAACCATTATCAAAATACGAATAAAAAATATACCATTTAATACGTTAAATAAAGTAAAATTTATCTTAGTTCTCTATAATAAGTTTTTCAACGACCTAAATTATTTTAAATGAGTTTAATAGCCTATAATGAAATAACATTAAAGATTATTCACTTTTCAAGAGAAAAACATCACTAAATTTCTAATTTTTTAAATAAATGTTCTCGTAAATGTTACGGTGGATGGAAAAATATACTCTGCATTTTCGATCTTCCTGTCCCGTGCTACAATTTTCACCTCGCGTTGCATACACGTCTCACTACTTATCAACATTGGTCCTGCGGGTTTACTGTACCTAAGTTTCACATCTCTCTACGTGTTATGCGTAAAAGCTGCTACGCCCGCGGATGTGTAGATCTCTAAGCGACGCAAAATATTTTTTCACGGTAGACAACCAGGCGTGCGTGCGTACGCTTTTTTCGGCACAGCAGAAAATCAATACCTTGCGGCAGAAAATTGAATTTGAACGAGTAAACAGGCCAGCGGCATATTATAGCGTATAGTTGATGTAGTGAATAGATTTCTCAAATAATCCTTCATTGGTAAAAAGTGCGCTTTTGTCAACAACAAATTCAAGCGCGGTTAAGGTAGCGCCCGACGGCATGTGGATCGAAAATCATTAATATACATGGCGAAAATCGCAATTTACATATGAATCGTTATATTTTCCAAAAATTAGAAATATTGTAGATTCTATAATCTGTTTGCCCGACAGCGAAAATTAAAATAATTTTTCAAGAGAACGATTAAGGCAGGAAGTCTAATGTGAAGTTTCACAGGATGATTACAAATCGTTCTGTATTTTGCATAATTTTAGTGTCCGCGAGCATACATCGCGGCTGGCGGAGGATTAATTTAAGCGTGAAAATGGAGTTTCCGGGATAATCTTCTTCACTTATGCTTACCTTCTTCATCGCTGCCGATCATGGCGTATCGCTCGTATCCGGTGAGATTCCTAACCGCTCCCAAGCCAAAGTCGTCCTTGGTCCATTGAATGGGCCCTTTCTGATCGAGTACTCGGCATGGAAGTGTCACCCGACTGCCAATCACCGCGGTTTGATCCATTGGCTCGATGGCGAATCGCTGATAAACTACTTCCGTCGTTGTAAACGGTTTCAGCGTCGACGCCATTATGGACGACGCGTTTGTCATGTTCGTAGCTGCCACTGTCTTCGCTTCTATTGTCATCAGCAGCGAGAGATAAATTATTAACGGTGCTGTTCTTCGTCCGACTTTTCTGCTTGCATTCCTACGGAATAAAAAAAAATGGTTCGTTAGATAATAATTAGACATTGTATAATATAAAACATTTTTAAATATTTATTATTTTATATCGCAAAATGTATTTGATTTATAATTTGATATAACATTTAAACTAACACACACTCATTACTTGAGATTTTTAATTGCAATTTGTTAAGAAAGAATCAAAGGAAGAATTGGAGGAATTGATGAAAAAATTGCACCGTTATTCACTTTTGATTCTTTAGCCAAGACAGGATAAAAAAAATCGTCGACTTTATTCTTTTAATTTTTGCATGCTTCCTTGAATCTATTTAACGAGCATGCAAGCCATTGTGCGATTCTTTGCCCATCCACTCCGTCGTGTCTTACTTAATTTATCTTTATAGTCCCATCGGATTCAAAAACGAAGTTAGAGAGCAAGGAGCCGGTGTCGTAAAAGAGACGATAAAAGTATTGCCGGGTGCCGGCAATTTAGTATTGGAAGCAAGGGTGCATTATACCCATACATATGTATGTCCGTGTGCAGCTAAAAGCACATATGGAATTGCCATTAGGTATGAGAGAAGCTTTTTTACGACGGTGGTCTACTTTTGCCGTTGCTCGTGAAAATATAGTATGTCTTAATAATTATCGCGCGGAGCGTTTTACGCTAGTATTAAACGTGTAATATTGTATCGGACAAAAAAAAAAGCTGGCTGCGATCTTTATCAGAGATAGTCGAGTTGACATCTACTACTCCCTTTAATTAGGTACATTTTTTAAGAATCGATCATTATCCCTTTCTGTCGGAATTCTTTCCGTCCCTTTCATTCCGTGACAGTCTAAAAAAAGATGAAAGGACGCTGATTAATCTTTTTATCAGTGTCTGAGATTCAACGGTATTTACAATTCAGAGCTTATGTAATAAACACGTTTATATATTTGTTTATCTTTGCAGGCAATGGATTAATTAATAAAATTATTATTTGTGTATCATATTTTTCCAAGAAAATACACAGCGGAGAGTCTGAAAAACGCGAATATTACTACAGATTCAACATTTATTTGTTGACTTTGAGCATTCATTAACGTAATGTTCATTAGCGTAACTATTAGCCTTTATTATCATTCGACAAAACAAACCGAGAAAGCGCGCCAGTCAAGCGAACGGGACTCTCAATCGCTCCCCGTCGACCACTTAATTAATTTTCATTGTGTCATTTATATTCGTATCAGCCGTCGTCCGTCTTCTAATAACGCGAACAAGATGGTATTCGGTTTCTGCTCCCCCCCTCCCCTCCCTCCCTCGTCTCTCCGCGCCGTGTGCCTGCGTGTGCCGCTTCTCCATCATCTATCTACGTTTCCTCCAGCGCACCGTTCTTATTCGTCGCCGGCGAAATGATCGATAGAACTGAAAATCGCTCGAGGAGAGATTCTTGAGAACGATGTATCGTTCTCGTATGTCTTGTCGGAGCTCGCACGCGGCGTCCCCGCACAGACGCGGCGTCTCGACGTCGCTCTGTGTTATCGTCGAAGCCGTTCGTTATACATGAAGCCGCGTCCTCCTCTTTCCCACACCCTCCTTTCTCTCTCGGATGTTCCTCGGAGAAGCGAGCTAAGCGTTTCTTGTCGCGCCGTGTTCCGCTGGTTAGCAGATAGAGGATGTCGTGAGACGTCGCGCTCGTACGACATCGCGCGCGGGCTGCTTCTTACGAGCTCAATAGGATAATAACCCCTGCGGCAGTCGCTGCCGCCGCCGTCGCCTGCCCGCCCGAATGCTTTGAATGGAATATACGAGTAACGAGCGTAATAATAATTGCGCTTGTGCCCCGTATTCGGGGCATCCCTTTCCCCCCCCCTTCTCTCTCTCTCTCTCTCTTCTCTCTCCCTACTCCTCCTCGCCGACCGACAAAACGTCGCGCCGCGCGGTGCGTTTACATCGGGTCGAACAATCTCGCGGCTATAAGCGACTTGACAAAAGCACGCTTCTTGACGCTCGTTAAGTCTTTCTTCCGTCTTCGACGGGATGCGAGCGATATCGCACAATTATTTCTCTCTTTGGGATACGTTGCGATAAGAATGTCTCATGCTCGTGAACAACATTGACATGTTTGACGAAATCGAACGCTGCTTGAATCGTATCGATAATCAGATTATCTTGATATCGCGTGAATAGAATTTCCGTTTCTTTCTTCCTTCCCCGGCTACATAATTTCACGAGGGAGTTGAAATAAATTTTGTATCGAATGTGCACAATTTACTCATTTACTTGGAAAACATTTATCATATTCCGTGACGTCCATGACAAGGCACGCCACCGGCTTACGAAACAGAATTGGGTCATGTCGGAATTGGATGGGATACGTCCCAGGCGATTTTACCACCAGTGATTTTACATGTAAACGTATATCACGAAAATATCGCACGCGCGCGTTATGTCGAATGGATCCTATCACGCCCATTGGCTTTTTATCATCCGCGAGAGTGTCGGAAATTTCGAGCCGCCTCGCCGGGCGCGGCTGACGTACAACGCGCGTAGGCGTATTCGTAGATTATGCCGCCGGCTCCGATAAAATAGAGCACGCTGATAGAAGCGTAAAACAATCAATTGCAATGTTGTCCCAGCAATTACTAGCGAATGTCGCGATAATCACTGGCGCGTAGGCGGGCGACGTCCGCGCACGCATACACACACACGCGCGCGCACGCACGCACACACACATGTACGCACGTTTAAATTTAAATAAAGTCACTAATCGAGACGATGCGTCGAGTCACAGTCTGCCTATCGAACGTCACGCGTTGCGGCCGCCGGTTAGAAATTTTAGCGCTCGAAAACACGCATTTCTCCGTCTCTCTCTTCCACTCTTTCTGCCTTTCTCTCTCTTTTCGTTCCTCTATAAATGCGTTTCGTTCGGCACACCGCGTCGCGCCGAATCGATCCATGGCCTGATTTGACCTTCGAAATCAATTTTTCGCGATGTTACCGCGTATTATTCGATGCTCCGTTCACGGTATTCAATTTTTTCTCAATTACAGTAATCCTAAATTTACACGAGGATTGCATTTTACAAAAGCTTCGCATAGGAAATAGACGTTGATAAATATACGCTAAAAAGACAAATACATATATATGTCAATATTCTATTTTCCACGAGCGTATGTATTGTTTAATATTTTAGTAGTATAAAACCGTATTTGTCAAATTGACAAATGAAAGAAAAGAACTTATTAAACACAATGAAACAAAACGGCGAAATAGAAAATAAAAAAACTAAAAATAATGTCTTTAATTACATTCTACGTTTTTAATTTAAAGTTAAAGCGACTACAGTGTGTCCGAAATAAAATATAAAAAAAGCACAAGTTTCAAATACCATTTGCTACCCACGTGTGAACGCCAAATTTTTGTTCGCAAATACTATTTCTTTGTAGATTCATCATTTTGTGTACAATAGTATCAATGCTACGTCAAATTTGCCTAGCACAACCTAACCGTGTATCCGTTGGATCACGCCTAACGGTAGTAATCCGCCACGCTGTACATGTCCCTCGGAAGGATCTCCCCCGCTCGAGCGTGGAAGACTCGCGCCGAAGCTCAACGGCGCAACGTCACCGATCAATTTGTCATGGGATGACCCAGTATCAAAGATACGAGTCCCCTGGGTCAGTGTAACGTGTTTCTGGGAACGTTGACACATGCATAGGACACACGTACCCGGCGCGACGCGGTGTGTACACATATGCAAACACACGACGCGTCACACACGGCGCGATATATCTGTATGTGGCTGCGCGTGTGTGTGTGTGTAAGCGTGCATGAGTATGTGCTTGTCATCGGTCGCACGACTATCTAAATATAGCCCTACGCCGATGTACACACGAATATGGGATGTATTCGCTGGTTATCGCGATTTTCGATACCCCCGACAAAGTCGGAAAATATTTCGTCACGCCGCTGCAGCTGACACTGCACCGGATAAGAGTGATGAGGGTGCCGCAGAATCAAGAATGCAGAAATCAATTTTCTACATCCGCTCCATTTATCTGTACTATACTTCAAGAGCCTGCTTTTCCTTGTTTAGCAGAATCCACTTTACAATAAAGTACGGTTTCTAAAAAAATGTCTCACGTGTCGGATTGCTTTTATATGCTAATTTAACGATAAGCAGAACGGAACGTTTGCAATTTTTCAAAACGTGTCTCTCGCTTTCTTCTCAAATAATTGTTTTTGACAAATTACTGTTATTACGACAAACAAATTATTCATTATTTTGATCGTGTTTAACTTCTAAATGCTAAAAACAGATGCACACTTTTTTTGGGGGGAGACGAAAAGAGCAATGTGACTAAATAAGCAATTTAATTACTTAATATTTTAAGCGCGCTTTAAATTTTTAAACGCAGACAATTTTTGAGTCGTGTAACACCAAGTTAACCATTTTCTTTTATTGAATTGCCATCTTGCTATATGATGTTCCTACATTTTGTACACCGTGCGACGGATTTGTAGAATGGAATCGGATTTGCGACCCACGGTATGCTTCACTATGTATAGAACATGTCCTGACAGTATCATACTTTATCTCGAACACAGATTCTTTCTTGAATATAAGTTTGACTTTTCGTTGACAAAAACCTAGCCGCTGGTTTTCATCCGTCGCATATTTTTTTCTTGTGTTAATCTGTAAATTGGAAAATTGGATAAATGGATATTTAAAACTTGAAAAATAAGCCACTTAAACTGCTCTTTTGCACTAACTTAATATTACTTTGCGGTTTGCGCAAGGCAGAGGTAAATAAAAAAAAATTTATTAGCTAGGGAAAACGAGAAAAATTGGGTAATTTTCAAACTCTATGTGTATCGCAACTCTGTTGGGACGTTCTGTATATTTTAACGCGAATAGTGCAACCTTCGCGCTTGTGTAGCGCGCAGGTCATGTAGATAGATGCAACCTAATTTTTGATTGGCTCTGGGGATAGAGTGGTAGAGAGGCTTAACCTTCGATCCACGGAGAGAGAAGG